CTCGAACAAAACCATCCATTTTTGGGGTTACTGTCATCCTTAGTAAACAGAAAATGGAAAGTCTTTCATTTCTGCGAGTCTTATAATTCGAAAAATCTCAAACAATGTCTTGGTTAGAATGATAGCAAATTACGGAGTAAGCTCCCCTTTATTGGTATTTGTTAGTGCACTTCAATCGTTTTACATCGTTAAATACCACAACTTGAAAACGAATGTTATATTTGTGCACTATTACACATTTTGAACTGAAGTTTATGTAAGCTTAGTGGGTTTTTGTTTGTCGTGTTTTACCACTCAGTTTTTTTGGGGGGCAGATTGGAACTTGAGATTCAAAATAACTCTCTGGCGTAAGAGTTTTGATAATACAATACTTCTCTAAGACATGTGCAAGAGCTTCCTTGGTGTGCGTGTTTAATGGTCTGCGAAAGGCTCTTTTATTGCTAGTTTGATATAATTAAACATAAGTGACCATTGTAAGCCTTGCAAATCCAAAATTGTTACCCCTTACATTTTTGTTCACCTCGAGATCCGTCCTCAGAGAAATAATCTTTTACGATTGATAATTCTGATATTCACCCTTTCTTCGGTCCATATTTGTATATACTCAAAGAAAAATAACAACAACTTCAACATCCAACTTTTTGAGATTTTATATTTCACCAAATTCACCCATGTATTTGCTTACTCCATTGTTCACCACAAAACAGAATTTAATAGTCTGTTTAAGACCAGTAAAATATCTGTATTTACAAGTTTTTTCTGTATTTGACCTGAATTAATCACCTGTCCTTAGACACATGTAATAATATTAAATCGACAATTTGTAGTGCATCTTACGTCATTGATAAATAAATTTGTATACATACCCAATGAAAGTGTGTTGACCCAGTTCGAAGTCAAAATTATTTAATGGGTCGATAAGAAAATGTATTGACTGAAAGGAAAAGGATTCGATTGTTTCATTTTAATATCATATTATGAAAAAGTTGTAACTCGATTTTCTTATACCTTATCTGGTGGACTATTAGTCCCCGAGGATATCATCAGCTCAGTAGTACTGACATAATTTATAGCAAAATTGTCTAAAAGTCTCTGTTTATTAATTTTGAAATTATAAATAATTATATAAGGTTTCAACTCCTTTAGGCAAAGTTGACCTTAGATGGATATGGCAATTTTTTAGGTATTTTTCTGTCATACAGCTTTTCAACGATTTCGGTTCTTATACATTTTTGGCTTTGAAATATTCGACTTTTACCGTTCCTGATGAAGGTAAATCCAGGAAAGTGTTTCGGACGCATGAACGTATTTAACGTTTTGTTTTCATATTTTATCTAAATATTCCGTATCATCTTCACAAATAATACACGATGGTCTTGACGTGTCTGCACCAACGTTGTTTAGCATCTTTGTATCGTGTTATAGTGTTCGTTTAATTGTCTTTGTATATTTATAATCTTTACTGTTTAGACCATTTATAGCAATATCCTTTTGGCGTGGCTCGGTATTTATACATCCTACCATTGTGTTATTGTGCTTTGGTCATTTTTTTATATTTTTGTCTTTCATTTTTGCTTATGTGCTTTATCTACAGAGTGTCTACATGTAATTTTTATTTTCTTTGTTAAGATAGTTGTTTGGTTTTATAATGATTAAGATTATAACACACTGTTGACTGCAGTACCCTTATTTTTGACATTTTTACCTATTACATGTATTATGTTTGTTTGTTTTGTTTACACATTGTTGTCAATATGATTGAATTTTATGCGACTGTCATACAGGTGACAGGTTTAGGTAGCTATAAAACCAGGTTTAATTCATCATTTTCTGCATAAGGATTTGTCTGTACCAAGTCAGAAATATGACAATTGTTTTTCATTCGTTTGATGTGTTTAGCTTTTGATTTTGTCATTTTTTAAGTGACTTACCGTTTTGAATTACCCTTGGAGCTCGGTATTATTGTTATTTTACTTTTTACATTTTTAAGGTGCTTGAATTATTTTAAAATTCATAACTACACAGTGTGTTTTTTTCTATATACATTTGCACGTTTATTATGTTCGACGAGTTAGTGGTATAACTGTTTTCTGATTATTCCTTGTTGAATTCAACTCGAACTATCCTTGTTTAAATATAACGGAAATTTCCCAACTCACAATTCCTGACAAAAAAATTGATACATAATATATGTTTTGAGTCTTTAGCACAACAACGAAAAAATCATTTATGACTTACAGAATCAGAATATACGTATCTGATATTACTACAACAGTTTGTTTTATTATTTTGGATGCATAATGCTGTGCTTCGGGCCGTTTCTAGTATATTGGATAGTTGAATCACTAACAGTGTTGCTTATGAATTACTTAATCGGTATTCTTACCTTATACTTTCTACAAATGCAGTTCTCTTTGCCATTTAAATCTAAAACAAGTATGTTAATTGAGTGTAAAATAATGAACATTTACGAGATGTACAATGAATCAAATAACAAAAGAAAAATAATGGGGATCAAGTACATTTGTGACGTCTAGACTAAGATAGGTATGGATCAAGTAAATCAAGTTTGCATTTATCTATTTATTATACCACCTGTCATGCTGAAGAGTTACATTGAACACACATATGTTTTTGTAGATCAGATCAACATGAAGTGCAAGGTGATGTTTTTGTCTGAATTGGTGATTTTGTTCTGCCTTATTGGTCAAGGTGAGTAATGGAAACGTTTTCGAAGCAAATATCACTAGTTCAATTTAACGATTTAAACACACAAAAATAGCTAAAAAAAAAAAAAAAAGCCCAAACAGATATACAATTGAATAACAAATAACCGAACGAGCCATTATTACATGTATGGGTACTTTATCAAGCAATCCAATCGTAAAGGATGCTTAATGTACAGTGAGTACTTCTCAAATGACAGCTGAAAATTATGGTCAAAATTGGTCGGTATTTTGAAAAGAATGAAAGTCTTTTTTGGAGACTTCTTTTTATTTTGTGTTTCATAAAAAGTGAATAAGAGATATTCTACTTTACGCAAAAATAAAACTAGTTTTACAGTGTGTATATTATTTAATGGATAAGTTTATTTGTTTATTTAGATACAGTTTAATTTTATTATTTCTTTGTTTCTTTATCTACTTGTCTCTCTACTTTAAATAAGTGTTGTGCTTGCAAACGTTTTTTTTAAAAATATATTCTGACATTATTCATTTATCAAATAATTACTTGAGGTAGTATGGGAGTATAATCGACCATTGATGGTAAATTTTTAAACTTTGCCAAAATGTAGTATATATTGTGATTATTTCCTCAACATAAAGATAATACATTGGGTCATCTAGTTGTTTTCAAACTACATGTTGTGAAACACACGATACATTGTGTATGGATCATACAGAGATAAAGTAGCATTGCATGAATACAAAGTTAAGATAGCTCTCATAAAATGATTTCGTAATATTGAAAGAAAAATATGGGTTCACCGTAAGTTCGTTTTTTTTTCCTGCTATCAAATACAATAAAACAATATTCTGTATGTTCCTCTATAAATTATAAAATGTACTAGTTACCCCTAGAAAATATGTTAGGTAAAACATGAAATAAATCAACAATATTTTACCTTTGTATACATATGACAATTTGTACACTAATTCACATACATTTGTTCATTTAAATGAACATTTTGCCAGCATTGTGTCTTTCATTTCCTTTTTCAAATGCCCGTGGTTATCTTGCTGGTAGTTTGACAGCATATCTTTATTTAATCTTGAATTTTTTGAATATATGTCTACATAGGTCAAGGAGCAATTATAATTGTTATTCGATATGTCACATTCGTGGCAAAAAGGACGGAATTGTAGTTACGACAATTGTAATATATACGTCGTCATATACGACGGATACATTACAATTGTTGTGACTACAATTCCGTTCTTTTTTCGCCGATTGTGAAGTCAATCAACTCATGAAGGCGTCTTTTAAAATTTCGAAAGGATGAGTTCAACTTCAGCACGTGGAACTCTTTCTTTAATAGCTTCCTAGTGAGCAGCAACCTTCTATCATGAAAGGAAATGGAAGCCACCCCTGACATATCGTATCAACTGGGACGTTATACTCCATATGCAGAAGCTGCTAAAATGTTGTTACATAGGAAAGTTCAGAACTGGGAAGCTGCAATGATCTCTTTTGTCGTAAAGTGTGCTTTCAACCGACCATCATTGTTAATATTAACTTTGAAGATGTTTGTCAAGATAGGAGACAAACTTAACTGTATCTATTGTATCCTTGTATGTGTACATGATTCGATTATGGGTAATGCACAACAGCTAAGATTAACAGCAAAAGGCAAAGCAGTAAATTGTATTTCTCTCTAGACATCTGCAACTTTCATTATTATGATGCATTTTTAGAAACAGCTATAACTATGTTCAGGCTATAAGATTTAAACAAAAATTAAATTAGGTCAATCAAATAGTGCTAGATACAGTGTCAATTAAACATCAGCCAAACGATATATATTCATGCAAAAGATACAAAATTACGTGCGTTTGGCATAGAAATATTTACTTTGTTCACATGGTCATTTTCATTTTTGTTTTCAATTGTATGTTTAAATGTTCTGATGACGGTTAGTGCACAGCTTCTAAGATTTGCAGCAAATATGAAAGCAGTAAACTTCTCAAGTCAATACTCGTCTGTTTTAATTAAACGAAAGACATATCACAATGACATAATTGACGGATGCATACATATCCTATGTATGTGAACTCGTAAAAAATATACCCTAATCGAAGTGTGCGCCTGCATATCATATAGCAAATTGAGACGGGGAACATTATAAATGAGTACAAAACAAACAAATCAGTTCTCGGTTTTGAAGGAAAAACAGGTTATGCTGTTATGAAGCTACTAATGATTGAAAAGTTATTAATTTAAAAGTAAAAAGGTAACAATAATGTATTCAATCCCTTTTAATTCACATTCCAGGTCTACAATTCAAGCTAATCGTTTCAACTTATGGTAAGATTAAAGAAATAAACTTGCAGACTAGGGCCGTGACACATCTTTTGACCGATCTGGGAAGTGAAATTAATTCTATGGATTATGATTATGAAAATAAATACATTTATTTTCCAAGATACAGTAAAAACGACATTTTAAGGTATGTCAAACTATTTTCAATTACATTTTAAATTCCATATTATGCATCTATAAGTATATTAGTATGTTTGGGTGAATTTTGTTATTAATGTTCACCTTTTATTTAACATGTATATTCATGTTGTTCAAGATATTTTTCCTCTCTCAAATGCATACCAACAGCTTTAAAACCTTAGTATGTAATGAGAACAACTGTTATGATTTTAGACTGACAAGAATAAATATAGTGCATTATTTAATGTCCCCCAAAATAAACTTTGATATACAAGTCTCTACAAATTCCAGATTGTACCTAGCACTTTTTAAATTATATATGTATGCTAGATGTCGATTAAAAAACACATATATGTAAAGAAACTTTAAATATTGACGCTTTCAAGGCGTATACCTTTTTGTCAAGTTTCGTTATTTAATTGAGGGTAGGTTGGTTGTGGTGATATACAAGTAACCAAGTCTAAAAATATATGTTTGCGTTGTTTATTACTCCAGTAATCCTTTAAAGGACAAAAAGATAGGCGGAAGATACCAAAGGGATATATTAAAGTCTCTAGTCGATGACAACCTGATAACCCCGTAGCAAAAAAAAAATAAACTACCAAAGACAAAAATAGTATACATATCAAAACACAAATAACTATAGACTGAGCAACACGAACCTCAACAAAATGGAGGTGATCATATGTTCTCCGGAAGGGTAATCAGACCCTGCCCAACATTTGACACCCGTTGTGTGTATCCTATAACATATGCTGGCAAGATATATTAAGTGATTAAGCATTACACAACATTGGTTTTGTAATTTGGTAAGAAATTACCAAATGTATAAGCAATCAGGAATGTTTATAAGCCCCGAAACTAAATAAAAATTTCGAAATTGAAATACGTTTTCATGACAAAGATAGACAATATAAAATTAAGAAGATGTGATATGATTGCCAATGAGACAATTCTCCACCAGATGCCAAATGACATAGAAGTTAACGACTGTAGGTCACCGTATAGCCTTCAACAATGAGCAAATCACATATCGCGTATAGCACGCTATAAAAGGCTCCGAAATGACAAATATAAAACAATCAAAACAAAAAACTAACGGCCTGGTTTATGAACAAATTAATAAACGAAAAACAAATATGAAATACAGCAACAAACAAAATCTCCGAAAAAACAGACTCTTAATTTGTGATAGGCACCAACAAAGCGTGCTTTAAAATGTTTGTTGGCCCTTAACCCTCCCGTAAACTGGTACAGTGTTGTGACAATACAACATAAGAACGAACTATACAAATCAGTTGAAAATGGTTTAACTCACCAGATAGATAGAAAGCACGTTAAAGCCTTAACAAAAACAAAAAAGACACAAAGTAGTACTCACAGTTACTAAAACTAGTTCAACAGCAATATCAACTAATAAAAGAACATGTGTCGAAGACTAAACTATCAATCGGCTCATATCCAACATCAAATGCATAAGATGTCATCAACTTTTCAACAAAAAAATGGCCTTGTACAATGCCAAAATATAGGTATCGATAGATTGTAAAACCGTGAATGTACATACGTGTATAACAATGATATTAAGTTTAGTTTGGCTCAGTAAACAATATCCCAGTGAACATTATAATGTGCTATCCTGTTTGTATTACAGCTAACTTCAAACCAATTCTTTTTATCTTTTGAAAAAAAATAGTAAAGGCTTTTAGTAATGTGTGGTAACGAAATCCTTAAATCACTAATTTACTAGTAATACACAAATTACGTTTATTAGAACCTAAACCCTTACTACAGACACGGGCATAGCGAACAAGTTGGTATATATACACCGTTACATGGTGCAAAAAGAATATCACCATTAAAAAAAAAAGGAAAATTTATCAATATTTAACGAAAATCGTCCTTTGTGTAGAAAAAGCGTGATGAGTTTCCCGTTTAGACCTGACATATCGAAATCTAGGAAAGGACGGTTATTACCATCTATATTTGATATATTTCAAGTAAATTCTTTTTTTGTAAATTTCAGTAGTATATTTAGAAAATTCTTGCTTATCTAACGAAAAAATATGATCAAGTTAACTGTGATTGTTAACGGTACAGGAACAATATAAAAATAAGGAGATGTGGTATGATTGCAAATGAAACAACTATTCACCAAAGTTCAAATGAAGTGGTTGTAAGCAATTATAGGCAACCGTACGGCCTTCAACAATGAGAAAAACCAATACCATGTGGTCGGATATAGAAACTGCTATGAAAAATATGAAACAATTCAATGTTGTCATGGAGAAAATATTCAGCTTCAATCATCCCATCACCTCCAGCAAATATATTTAGCATATTTCTGCTTTTTTATTAGAGAAAACGGTTTTAAATGAGTTCCATCAGATGAATTTGCAATCAAATTATCCAACGACCATCTAACTAAATAGGAATACTTTTGTTTGATAAGGTTGTGTGGAAGTGTAGTGTAAAGAGTTGAAAAGTAAAACCTGTCAACCGAATTCAAACAACCATCAAAAGCACGTAATTTATTCTAAAACACCAACATAATGTTTTACGCTTCAAAAAAAGTTCATTCCACTACTTCCATATAAGTTATTACAAACTTCAATGACAATGTTAAGGGACTAGTTAAACATTTTAAAGGCAATGAAAGATTAGTTGTAGTACACTTAATGAAAGCCGTGATAAAACTATATTTTACGGATTGTTTGTATTGTTCAGGTAACTAATACATAGTAGGGACTTTAAAATGGTCAGTTGGGATGTTCTGATGATATGATTGTTTACTCTGTGACTCTCTGTGCAGCTCAAATATCTATGTCTACAAGTAATTAGAGGTTTAGACCAAGGTTATTCTACCATTTTCTACATAAAGAAATGCCTTTATCAAGTTAGGAATATGACAATTGTTTTCCATTTATTTGATATGTGAGCTTTTGATGTTGTAATTTCATAAGAGACTTTCCGTTTTGAATTTTCCTTGCAGTTTGGTATTTTTGTTATTGTTCTTTTCATCTAAAGGTAGAAGAATTTAGAATTATTTCTTAAGAGCTTCCTTTTACATGAAGTATATACGGTATACCACCACGACTTTCCTGGCTTCTTTGTCGGCCGAAACGAACACAAACCGCTTCGCATGTACTTGAATTTGAAGTTTGTCGTATTCTAGAAATAAGCGTTTTATATACCCTTTTACCAGGAAGAAATTACCTTACCCATATTTGGCAAAACTATGAACATTTTGGATCCACAATGCTCTTCAGCTTCGTAATTTGTTTTGCCTTTTTAACTTTGTTTGATTCGAGGGTTACTGACGAGTCTTTTGTAGACAACACGCTTATCTGGCGGATATAATTTTAGTCCTGGTATCTATGATTAACTTTTTTATCTATTTATTTTTAAATTTATTTCAACATTTTAAATTCAAATATCATCAATATTCATACATTTATCTAAATAACAAAAATTATTAAAATACAATGAAATAGCGCTTTAGATCTACAAATTTACTTCAGCAAAACTTTTTTTTCTTCCCTCATGAGGAAACCGCAGCTTCTATGACATCATGGGAGCATCGCCTTGACGGTGTTCAGCCATTAAACCACTCGATCAGCTATATTTAAACATAGCTTTTGTTAAACGAGTAATGGTTTTCCCTGTCGGCGATCTATACGGTTGTTATATATATAAATATATATATATAAACACGTCTAGCGCGTTTTCGGCTTTGAATTTACTATTCAATTGTTCTAGTTGAAATGAATGTATTCCTTCATCTCAGATACATACGGATAATAAGTTACATGAGTTGATGATAACAATTTGTTTTGTACTTTTCTTTTTTAAGATTTCGCTATCCATCAAACTATACGTACCAGACAGAAAATGTCACAATGGCAAATAACCCAATAGGTATAGCAATTGACCAGTTATACAATCATGTGTATTGGATAGAACGATATACGGGAAAGCTTTATCAGAGTAATATGGATGGGTCAAATAAATTGTTAATATTACAGGATGATCCAATGTTTGCTTTAACATTAGATGTTACTAACAGGTGTGTCTATGTATATCCAATATATTGAAAATTATGATTTAAACAATAAAAAAAAATACTGCTACGTTGTTTACACATCTCTTGGCCATGAAGGTGAACGTCTATTTTTTTTTTTTTTTTTAAACAAAAAAACTAGGTTAATTGTGCCATCATCCTAAAAACCATACATCTTGTATCCATGTTTGACTTATCATTTGAAAATAATAGTTAAAATAGAAATGTGGTTTCTTAAAATTGCTTTCAACATTGATTTTCTTTTTAACATGATGATACATTTTTGTTATTTAGACAAGGATAAAAATCCAAACAAACCGCGTTGTATGTTTATTATAATACTGCTTGTACATTCGTGTCGTTTCGCTCTTTAACACAACAAAAAGTATGCTCTGTGACTCGTACATGTATGCAAATACTTTTTTTACACCTCGAAGTTTTTTTTCTTAAAAGAAGAGCACCTCGAACGAATAACAGTGCGTTTAAATGTGAAATATTAAAGGAAACATCCTCCTCCAAACGATACGGCAATGCCAAAACATTGGGCAATTCAAAGGAGAAAGGAAAGAAAAGTCAAAAGCCGAACAGATACTACATGTATGTTATCTTCTGTGTATATAGAAAAACCCAAATGTATGAACTTAATTTGGATTTGGATCGAAAAATCAAATATATATGCATTTTAAAAATGAAATGCTACACATAGATTTGCACATCGCATGTAATTATTTAAGTAATTTGATCATTTATATAACAGATGGGTGTATTACAGTATAATTGACACCGCAAACAACGTAATAAGGCAAGCTAGATTGAATGGGACTGAAATACAGACTTTTACAGATGTTCATACACAAACAGTATCTGGTTTGAGCATAGGTATGCTACCCGATCATAATTTAAATGACCATAGCACAATAACACCATGGCAGGATGTAAAAATACCGAATCGCAACAAAAGTATATAATCAAAAATGGACTAAACAGTAAAGGTTAAAAATGTACACAGAAAATTAAGATGCACACCGTCCGTACCTAGAATCTATACTTCAAGACCGTAATGTATTATTTGTGAAGTTGATACGGAATATTCATCAACAAGGTCTTAGCATCTTCCAATTTTTTTTTAGAAAAAGGACGAGATGTTTTTTAACATAATCCTGGTTCATTAACTTTCACCCAGACACTGGTTACGTTTCATTAAGTCTGAGTAGTACACGCTCTTGGGTGAGTTGGGAAATGTTTATCCCGTATGCAGGTTAGATTGATATATTGCTGCTAAGGTGCGTGAAATTTATAATTTCAAAACTAAAATCGTCTTTTTTGTCATATTCTGGTACGGAGACGACTGCTTATGTAAAATTACAGGTATATGTCTAAAATTAAGACTGCGGAAGCCGTGACAGTTGTTTAGTGAATGTCTAGCTCTAAAGGATATATTATTAGAATCCAATGAAATAAATTTTATACAATAATGTTACGAAATAAAAATGCGGAATTAAAATTTGATCAGTTTAATGCATACGCTATTGTCTACCTTTCCTGTTGAGCTAAAACCTAGAGTTATATACATCTGCAGTAATGGTTCTAACACTTTCTGTTATTGAATGAAGAAGTTTTGTGTACGTCACACTATTAATCATGACATGTTAAGTCACAATAGTATGTTTTACGTTAAGCCAACTCTATCTGAAAGCATGGAACACACACCACAATAGATGGCGTCTTTGGGATCATCAACATATATTGTTACAGCTATTACATGCACAGACAAATTATTAACTTATAATTCATAAACATAGAGAATGTTACCAGTTTATCATTTTTTTGTGAATGCATGGAATAAATTATCAATAACACAATCTTCATATTAGATTCCAACGAAGAACACATTTATTGGATGGAGTATATAACTGGGAATTTGATGTCTTCTAATATTAAAGGAACTGCCGTATCACAAGTTTTCATGACGAGTACTACCAACACAAACAGAGGTATCCATGCATATAATAGAATAATATACTGTTCAAATGGCAATCAAGTACAAAAGGTCACAGTTTCATCAGTAGTTACAGCGAATGTCATATACACAGACAAAGAACAAATTTATGGTGTATTTATTTACAATGAAAATAGTAAGTATGTTAACCGGCATCATCTTTTCTTGAAAACAAACATATATTTTTCAACACAATGGATTGTTATTTAGTTATATCGTTGATACTTTCCATTTGCTTGGAAATATTTGTCACTTTGAACTTGGAATTTACAGTTAATTTCAAATGCAATACATTCTGCAATAATAACATTCTTATATAAAGATAGTATTAAATAAATTATTATATACGTTTCTTACTTTCATTATATTTAAAATGCAAAAAAGCAGTTGTCTTTAAATATTTCGTTATTTAATTTGTCACACATTTTGATATATTGTTGTGTTAACACCACTATTTTTATTTGTAGAGCTATCTTTTTTAAAATATGTTGTAGCTGCTTGATGCTACCGCTTCCACGCATATGATTATACTCGAAAGCTTGAAAATGCTTATTACATGTTTCATACAGATAATGTTAATTTCACCCGAAATTAAAAGATTATTTTTTTCAATATTCTCAATGTTAACCTTTGTAGTTCGTATTTATTTGTTGTTGCTATTATTTTACTTCAAATGAATGTCGGGGTTGGAGATATCTAGTAGGATTGTAGAATGTTGTATTATATCTTTGACACATTTATGCATAATTTAGTTTGCTTCAAATACCCCTAATCCTGTGTAGAATTGAAGAATCACGTTTTAAGATGCATGTTATCAGTATCAAATATTGCAGTTCTTTATTATCATGGTTATATTAAATCAATAAATAAAAAATATCGCCCCCGAATAGTTGTATGACTGCTAACATGTTTGATTATACTGTATTATTCCCTCTTCAGTTACTCATTTAATAAATGTCAGCAAGATATGTTTATATAAACAAAATTACATAATTAGCCGTTACATAGTTGCTATACCTTTGTATATATCTATTAACCTTTAGACGATACCTGTTTTCGATATATATATATATATATATACCTTAATGTTAGAATTGTTTTTATTTTTTTGTATTACGTGTATAAGTGTATTGTTCTCGTGTTTGCTTTGAAGAGATGTTTAGTTTTAATTTAGATATTTAGGGACAATACATCTTTTTTTTTCACTCCAGTGACAGATACTTGTGAGTCAGATTTCTTTATTTAAATTGGTAAAGTTGGATATGTCCATTTTCCAAATATATAACTGTTTGATAACTTTATCAAAGCTAGAACTGAATTGAGGAATTGACTACTACATGTAACTACAGCACTTAAATAAAAAATCAAATAAATCGTGACACTGTAATATGTTATGTGCGCATGCACATTTGATGGAAAGTATAAATCAATGTATAACACATTTGTTTTTCGAATATAGATATATGTATATATGTTATAAATTGAAACAAGGAAACACAAACAAAGTGAAAAATCTTTTTATATTAATCTAATGTGTATGACAATACTCTAATATGTTGTAGCTTTCAATGAACAGAAAATGCAGAGGAGTCCAGTACGCATGGATGCAACCGATAAAAGAGAATTACAATAATCATAACTGTCTTTCTTATCGAACACTGTAAGTATTATGTTTCTACTATGTGCCTCAATACATAAAGTTGATTTGTTGTTATATTCACTACAAACTGCTCAGAGTCTGAAAATATCATATTCTGTACTCAACCAATAAGGCAATTGACAAGTCTCCTCATAATCTTAACTGTACCTAACTGTACTTGACCTTGGTTTAGACTTTACTTACTAAGTTTAATTGAGTACTTGATAATCTTGTTATAATCTGAATACGGTCTCGACAAATGCTCGACCAGTCTCGACTCTGTCTTGACCAGTTTCGACTATGTCTCGACCAGTCACGACCAATCTTGACCTTTAAATGTAGTCTCAACTGGTCTTCACTCGGTCTAAATCAGCGCATCTATGTCAATTATATATTGATCTCACAAAATGCCAGGTTATTTGGTAGTTTGATTTATTGCTGTCAATAGGCATAAAAAAAATACAATTTTCAGTTCAGACTACTTTCAGATAGTCCTCTTTAAAGATGTCTATAACTTATTCAAATCAACTTTGATTATGATAAAACTCTACACTATCTCAATTATCTATTAATTTTACAAAGAGTTACGTTATTTGGTAGCTTGGTTTATTGCTGTCAAACTAAGGGAATTATTTAATAGGTTAAAAAGCTAGAATTTTCAGTTCAGACAAAATTCAGACTTATTCAAATCAACTTGGAATTTCAGTTATCTCAATTATAGATTAATCTTGCAAAATGTTAAGTCATTTGGAAGTTTGATTTATTGCTGTCAAATTTAAGGATTTAATTAATGGAAAAAATACTAAGATTTTTACTTCGGACTAAATTAAGATAGTCTCCTTTGAAAATTTCTATAACTTTTTTAAATCAACTTGGACTTTCATAAAACTCGTCAGCTATCTCAATTATATATTGATCCATCTGAACCAATTAAGCTACCAAATAAGCTGGCATTTTGTAAGATCAATATATAATTTCAAATAATTTGTTTCACTTTTTTAACCAGTGAGCATTAACGAGTAATGACTCTTTCTAGATGTTGTAATACATTATGCTGGTCTGGTAACTTCCTTTGTTGTACATGTGACTTAACATTACACGCACAAGTTTTAATCGTGAAACGTGTATATTTGCTTTTTCCTCATTCAATAAAATTGATTATTCTTTAATTCTTTATATCAGTCGTTTCTTGTTTTGATAAATCAGTCAATTGATAATGCATGTGAGCAGTTATCAATCGCTTAATAAAATAACTCAAACTTAAATAAAAGAAAAAAAAATCAAAACTTTGAAAATGTGCCCAAAGTATAGTAGGCTGTTGAAAATGTGTGCGTTGGTTCATTTTCTATGTAAAAGGTTTAATTTGCTGCTATGTCCTTATATCCTTTGTCTTTAATATTCTAAAATGTATCTGCTTGACCGCATAGTTAATGAATTTCTGTGAGTCAATACCATTGTTTGCATTTCTCAATTTCGTGCAAGCAAAAACCATAATGAGGATCTAATACATTTGTTTTATTATTTATTATAGATTATGATTATGGTCTTGCTAAAAGAAGGTATGAAACACCTTAGAACTAGCTGTTTTTTAGCCACCAATTACTAGAAATTCATGACATACCATCGTTGAAGTAGGAGACTTTATCAGATTCAAAGTACCACGGTTGATTCTCAAACAAACGTGTTGTGCATTCTTGAATGTAATGTGATATCAAATAGGGAATACCCTGCTTGATTCTTACACAAACGTGGTGTGCTATCTTGAATGTATTGTGATAGCATATTAATACATTTGTATTGATATATATATATCAGTTGTATCTGTATATGACTTAGTTCATAATAAAAAAGAAACTTAACAACAAACACACCAAATTTCATGGAAATTCGAATATGGAGATTTCATCAAAACCGACAAAACCAAACACTCGACCATATCAACCAACGGTGCCACTGGAAACTAATTAACATGTGTTTTAAGGTAACATGATCTCTGATCACATTATCGTGTATAACAGTGTTTGTTAATGTTGTGTTGAGGTCGTTATTCATGTAAATAAAAAGTCAAGCTTCACACTAGCTGAATTCTTTACAGAAACTCATATCTGCTTCAAAAATGGTAGGCAGTTTCGTTTCCAATTGTTCTCAAGCAAGGTAATATCCCTTTAATCCGTTAAAGGTCTTGGTAATTCAATAAGAGATTCTCAAAATTGTTCATACCGGTAAGCAATGAATCTCTATTTCTGAAACAAATCCAATATTGTGTAACCATACATTACCCTACATATTGAATCGAAACACAATTCTTTCATACGACTGTTGTTTATCGCTGTTTACATCTGATTAATAAAATTTGAAGGTAGCACAATATAGAACTCCAAGGTAAATTAAAAAAGGGTAAGTTCATATAAACTGACAAAATCAAACACTAAACATCGAACAAACAAAAGAACTATGTCAATTCGACCTGCTTTGATACGATAACTGCACTTGAATTTTTACTAGATAACATTTTTGTTCGCTATGGAGATATTGTATATCGTAAAGTTATCGGAATTCAAATGGGAACTTACTGTGCACCACATATTGCAGACCTGTTTTTGTATTGCTATGAGTTACAATGTATGACTAAAATTAGCAAAGACCCATCGAAACAACATCTGATACAAAAATTTAATAACAATTTTAGATATTGGATGATGTATTGGCTCTCAATAATGACGACTTCAGTATGTACACTAAAGAGATTTATCCTGCTGAACTGACTTTAAATAAAGCTAATATTAACAATGAACACTGCCCTTTCCTGGATCTTGATATCTATATCTTTATCGGGAAGCATAATACCAAAATTTACGATAAAAGAGATGATTTTTCATTTTCTATTGTTAATTATTCATTTTTAGATGGTGACGTTCCCTTTTTTTTTCTTTTTTTTTTTTTATTTTATAACTTCCAACTAGTGAAATAATTTCACTTTTTTCTTTTTTATTTTTTTTTTTTTTTTTTTACATAATTAAATATTTATTTCAAATATTGGCTTGTTACAATATCCTTCAGAAGTCCAAGCTCCTCCTGATGTTCCCTGTTACAATCCACTAATCACTCAGGGTGGTGATTAGTTGTAAAATACATATTACATTTGTACATCAAATATATATTAAACAATATCACTTAATATGACTATTCATATGTTTTCTAATAGTTGCTAAAATATTAATTTTAATTTTCAAACATACTCTTCTATTGAACTCATTGAGAAAAATTAAGAAAACATTGACATTTTTTGTCTTTTGATCAGATATGTTATAGGCTTTGTAAATTGAAAAGCCAACAATTGTTAAAAAATAGTTAAAGTCAAAATATTCTTCGTCAAAAGTTTTATATCCAAATACCAAGTGTCTTAGTTTTATCTTAAAAGTTATTTTACTGTTCTTTAAAACTTCATTTATTTCATTCCAAAAATGTTTTAAATACGGACACAGTATAAAGTAGTGCTCATAATCCTCTTCTTGTGTACAAAAATTACAAGAACTATTGTTTACAATTTTCCACCAGCATAAAAGTTTCTTTGTAGGTAGAATATGTTGTAGTAATTTCCATCTAAAAATTCTAAGTTTATTTTCTTTTAAATATCTGAATAAAAATTTATAAAAATTGTTTTGATATAACACATCATCTATATCAAATATACGCAGCCATTTTTTTGGTCCGATAGCTGGTTCAATTTTTTTATTTATCAGAGACTTATATAAAAGTTTATTTGTTAGTGATTCTAATTTTATATGTGAACCTTCCAATATAAATTGGTTTCTTTTTATATTAACAATACTTTTTACAGAATTTTCCGATTTTAAAATTGCTGCCCAGTCTTTTGGTATTGATTTCTTTACTAAATTAATTTCAGCTATCCAGTTTGATTTATTTTTTAGTTTATTTAAAATTATGTCTTGAGAAATACAGCCTTTTTCATCTATGATATCATTAACATAAATAAGATCGCTTTTAATCCATTTTTTTAAAAATATAGCTTTATTTTCAAATTTAATAAATTTATTGTTCCATAATATTTGTTTTCTTATATCTGTAAATGTTTCTGTTTTTTTTGTTAGACCTCCACCAGTTAATTTCCAACATTTAATGATATCTTTATAAAAATCTGGAATGTGTTCAATGCTTTCGTCTGGCTTATCCCCACTGTTTGTTTGAAACACTAACCAGTTTGACCCAAAATTATAAGAATAGTGCTGAGGTATAATTTTCCAACCTCCTTCACAATCATTTACTAGTCTTTTTACCCACATAGCTTTTAAAGCAGTGAAATAACTTCTTATATCTATCATATCCAACCCCCCCTTTTTATAGGGACCAATAATTGAATTTCTTTTTACTTTATCTGGTTTATTATCCCAAACAAATTTAAAACAACTTTTTTCTATTTCTTTTAAATATTTCTCTGGAACTATGCAGGCAGATCCCACAAAAGTAAAAATGGGCACAATTAGTGTTTTGATACTCAAAATTTTTCCAAAAATAGTAAGATTTCTTTTTTGCCAAGCACAAAATACTTTATTCATCTTTTCAATTTTATTTTCCCAATTTAGTTTTTCACATTCCTCTCTACAATGCCCAAAGTATATACCAAGAGTTTTAACTGGTCCATTGCTCCAGTTGATTCCCTCAATTTTGTCTTTACATGATTTAAGCTTTCCTACCCATAACCCCTCTGTTTTATTTCTGTTTAATTTCAATCCTGAATAAGAACCAAAAATTTCAATTTCGTTCATAGCAACTTGAACATCATATTTAGAACAACAAAATAAAGTAGTATCATCTGCTAGTTGCGAAATTTTTATACTGTGATTTTTGCAATCTAATTTGATTCTGATACCTTTAAAATCGGTATTGCTTCTTAATCTTGACGCCATGATTTCCACAGATAAAACAAATAATAACGCAGATAAAGGACATCCTTGGCGTATACCCCTGGTGTTTTTAAAGACATCAGATATCCAACCATTATTCATAACACATGTTTGAATATCGCTATATAAAGTCTTAACCCATCTGATAAAAGATTCATTAAATCCAAAATGTTTTAAAACTGAAAACATAAAATTCCATTCTAGAGAGTCAAACGCTTTAGAAAAATCAACAAAGATTATAACCCCCTCAATTTTGTATAAATCAGTGAAATCAATAATATCTTGTATCTGTCGAAGATTAAAACCAATAAATCTATTCTTTAAATATCCAGTCTGGTCTTCTTTAATAAGTTTTGGTAAGATTTTTTTCAATCGTTGTGTTAGAGCGTATGATAGAAGTTTCATGTCAATATTGAAAAGAGAAATAGGACGGTAATTATTTAGTGACAATGGACCACCTTTTTTAAATAATAGCGTTAATACACTTGTACGCTGTGAGTATGAAAGTATTTGATCTTTATATCCAATATTAAGAATGTTTACTACTATGAACTTTAATTTATCCCAAAATTTTCTATAAAATTCAACTGTTAAACCGTCTAATCCAGGGGATTTATTAAGTTTCATTTTATAAATAGCATCTGAGCATTCTTCTACTGTAATATCCCCATCGCAGAGTGATTTATCATTTTTATCCATTTCTCTCTCGAGTTGTGTCTCAAATATATATTTATCGCTTGATGTTTTATCAGGGCTTTCTAATCTAATGGTGTTTATATATCTCAACTTGTTCGATTCGCCCGTGTATAAGACAACGTATTTGATTTTAACGAAAGAAATCTCTGTATTACTGAAAAATTATTACAGTAGGGTTTTTGATATCTCAAACTAGTCAAAATATTTACTAGATTTTATCATCGGTACAAGGACATCATTCGTAAATATAAATCAACATGCAGACATCTTATACATTCAGGTATTTCTCATCCAATCTTGTATGGTAATATTCTATACAAAGCACACAAAATGTCGTCATTCACCTCAAAAGCTAACCAAACCTTTAAACAGACTTATTCAGAAGGGATATAGTTACGATACTGTTGTCAGGTCATTAAAGATGGTATATTTTGGAATTGATATTGATTCGCTCATAAGGTCTTTGCATTGGAAATAAACACATTTTTTCTAAAACCAGTTGTTGGCATGATACGGGTTATGTTCTTCTCATTTATTTTATGATGGTAAGATACTAAACCCCTAACGGGAGGGATTGTGCTTGATTTTCATACGATGATGACATAATCTTTCAATCAGTTCAATTGAGGTCTGGAGCTGGCATGTCAGTAACTGCTAGTAGTCCTTTGTTGATTTATGTTTCATTGTAATTTTGCATATATTCTTCTGTTACATATTCTGACATCAGACTCCGACTTATTTTAAACTGAGTTTTACTGTGGGTACTGCTGTGTGTTTGTTAATTCTACATTGACTAGAGGTATAGAGGGAGGGTTGAGATCTCACAAAACATGTTTAACTCCGCCGCTTTTTTGCGCCTGTCCCAAGTCAGGAGCCTCTGGCCTTTGTTAGTCTTGTATGTTTTTTTTTTAGTTTTAGTTCATTTATATGTTTTCGAGTTTAGTGTGACGTCCATTTTCACTGAACTGGTACATATTTTTGTTTAGGGGCCAGCTGGAGCCCGCCTCCGGGTGCAGGATGTTCTCGCAGTGTTGAAGACCCATTGGTGGGCTTGGGCCGTTTTCTGCTCTTTGGTCGGGTTGTTGTCTCTTTGACACATTCCCCATTTCCATTTTCCATTTTATTACACCACTTCATTCAACGGAACAGTAAGCGTCTCCTGGTATGCAGTCATAGCCCGCAATTCGTATCCACATTCAACCAAAATACCACAATCATAAAATAGGACACAGTCGGTAAAGTTAAAAACTAGACGACTATTCTGTTATCGAAAGATCTAACACTGCAAAAACCTGTCGCTAGTAAGTTGAGATACAGATATATCGTATCAGTCAACAAATTCGTGACGGTGACTGTGACACTTATGAAATGTCGATTTCAGTCGGTCTTCCTCGTAATGGTTTGATCAGTTGTTTTGCAAGGAGCTGACTTTTCTTTTATTCGTCATTTTTTA